GTTTGTGTGTGTCCTGTATGTTCATGGCATAGGACATGTCATTGCCGTAGAAAAGGTACATTAAGTGCGGTAAAGTCTTTGTAATTTCCAGATATTATAATTTTTTATGTTGAATAGTGTCATCCTACAAATAATACTACAAAGGTAGTTTTAGACATATTCACGACGACACGGAAAATCTTCAAAGGATAAAAGACGATGCTCTTTTGTCAAATTAATTTTCTTCTAGAACTTATATTAAAAGAGAGTTTGGTGTTTATACTCTGGTTTGTTTACATCGTTCATCATATTTTCAGGCTAACTTGGGTATGCTGTAGAGAGAGTTAACAAAGTACTTTAGCTCTCTGTAAAACCTGATCATGTATTGTGAAAGTAAAGAAGCTTTTGTGAATAGAACGGCACTTTATATCTTTAATTTTTTTTTATTTTCTGCTATGCCACAAGGACTAACGTTAGTTTTATTTTCACGTTGTCCCTTATATTTTCATACTTTATGTGTAATAAAGCAGTTGTGATAATGACCAGAAAGTAGATATGTTTTATTTTATCATACTGAAAATCATGTACATGTGATGAAGGTAAATTTTGAACTAAGCTAGATTTTCAAATACCACTTGTCCAAGACTGCAGAAATTGAGTATTTTCTTGCACATTACAGAAAACATGACGTGATATGAAACCGTAGTGATGGTAGTCTACCAGAATTTTAAACAGAGCTTCTTCATTTTGTTAACCTACCTTCAAAGCTCTCACTTAATTATATTTACTTTCCTCAGTGATAATTATCATAATAAGAAATTATCATTAAGAAATTATAAATCAGACAATGTGCAGCTGAAGATGATGGCAGAGTTGGGTAGTAAAACATACATGAAGTGATAGAATTTGAACCAAGGCAAATTTCTTAGATGATAATAATTGGGCAAATGCCCTAATAAGGGGCTGTAGCCTAATCCGGTTTCTATAGAAAAATAGGTGATTTTTTTGTTACACAGAACCATCCAACCTTTCAATTATTGGTTAATCTTTACAATTTGGATGCACTTAGTTAAGGCAAATCGGTACAAGAAATAATTTGCAGACACAAACAGTAATGCCACAAATAAAGGAAGAATATCAGGGAAAGTGCCGCTATCAGCCAATGACCACTTGGTGCTCCCAAGTTTCAGCTCTATTTTGCCCTGCACACCAAGGTGAAGACAATGTTTCCTTAGGGGGTGTTGGGAGGCAGAGTCCCCATCCCCTTTTTGGGCAGTTGGACACGCCCAGTCACGGCAACTTAGATTAATGAATAAATTTTTTGACACGGAGTTGGGGACTTAGTCTCTGGCGAGTGCATCCACATTATAAAGAATTAATTAATTATCATTTCTTGTTTCAAATATAGTTAGCGTGATCTATTGTTTTTTTTTCTCCATTGCAAATGATGAATTTTAAATTGCCTTAAACTTTTTGCAAAGTCCAGATTGAAAACCTTAGTACATGCTCAGGCAAGGTATTTCAAAAGTCGTAACTTGCCCAGGGTAATTTTACACAATAGTTTGGCATGAGTAATTGCGACAATTGTGGTATTCCTCTCACTCTCTGTTATTCAAATATATAGAAATTATTGTGTGGAAACCCCCCATTTAGCAACAGTCTTGGCCCTGACAGCAGGGAGGGCAAGAAAGGTACTAGGGAAATTGTAGGGTCGAATATGTATAATATTTACAGAATACGTCACTATATTGTCAAATGCAGGGCTCTGCCCCTGATCCCCCCATCCCCCCACCCCCCACCCTCCATCGGAGGCTGCAGCCCCCCCAATGCCAACCCAGAAAAACAAAGAAACCTCACAATATTCATGGCAGGAGAAAGAATCAGATAGCTTAGGTATCAGACCCTCTTGCTGCTGGTCATAATGCTCTCTACATGGATGATTCTTTGTGGTTTCTTTTCATGCCCTCCCTTGCTATTGAGGCCAAAGGATATGTGGGGGTTTGGAGTGTTTTTGCACAATAATTTGCAATCATTTGCAACTATGATGGACGCTCTCCACAAACAATTTTCATGAATTGTTTTCATTTCAGATGTTCTTACTCTTAACGCACTGACATTATTATTACATGTATCAGAACAAATAGAAAATGTGTTTTTTTCCCTTTCTTTATGACAGCTTAACATTAGATATTTCCTGTAAATGGATATACAAAGTATTATATGTTGTACAGAATTATACTATTACTGGATTATCAAACTTGAGGAATTAGATCTTTACATAAAGGTATGGAAATAACAATTTGACAGGTTGAGCGAAGATTTTATATTGTAGTAATGTTGAAGACTATCTGGTGACACAAAAAAATAAGTCTGCAGAGCACGAAACAGATGCATCACACAGACCTGAGACATCACCTCGTTGCTACTCCCAGTTTCAATCAGTACTCTATCATTATGCCATGCACCAAGTGACCAGACAGTAATCTTCTCAGAAGGGGTGTCTGAGCAGGAGAGTCAGCCCATCAACCTCGCCCTGTGCTTGCAGTCACACAGTTATGGCTAAGTTTGAAATTGTTGGAATTAATTTTTGTGACATAGAGTTGGGGATTTAGCCTCTGGATGGTATGTAGGTCTGTACCTCCATGTTATTTCTTGCATAAGAAATAACATAGGAAAAGTGTCTTAATTTCTGTCATTCTTCTGTGAAAGGCAAAATTTGGTTTTTACCACATGGCTGTGTGAAACTGAAACTATACCAAAGATATTGTTTTATTATACTATTGAGGACCAATAAATTTTCACCACTATATTATCTTGTTGTTGCACTTGCACATTTCATTGCATCATATAGCCATTCACTAACAGGAATCCAGAAATACATCATTAGTACATTATTGCTTTACTCCACTTTCCTCTGATTTTACTATTTGCTTCACTCCTAATAACTGTGTACAAAGAAAACAGGTGAGATCAGGTAGGAATTGACTCTGTAATAACCAAAGTCATGTGGATCCATGTGTGTACAGGCACAGTTATTAAACTAAAATCACAGTGGACATGGCATGTATGTCAAACCATGGTAGCAGAAAGCACATCTTTGACCATTATTATGAATTTGTCACAGGGTTGTAAAATTGTTTAGATTGTAGTAAACATTTTTCCGGTACATTTAAGTCTAAATACCCAAACATTGATATTGATGTTTAAGAAAAATAATAATAGTAAAAAGAAAGAAAAAAAAAGAAAAAAGTAAAAAAAAAAAAAGAAAAAAGTAAAAAAAAAAAGAGAAAAAGAAAAAAGTAAGAAAGAAAAAGATAGAAAAAAAGAAAAGAGGAAGAAGAAAAAAGAAATATATAGATGTAATTAGACTAAGGCAAATATTTTCTTCACAGATCATGGTTGTAGTCTTGTGGCAGAATTGGGGAGAACATGTGGGGCGTCAATTGCCACATTTTTTGGCCGGAGCCACACTCACAGACGTGACCATCACTGTGGGACCCCGTAGCATCAAAGCTCATCGGATAATATTAGCATTTTTTAGTCCATTTTTCAAAGTAAGTGTTTCAGCTTTTCTTTATTACCTATTTCCATATTATATTTACACAGTGTCAATAATGACAGTGGTAATGTAATTTTTATTAACACCTTGCTGATAAATGGCATGTGCATACTTGACTAGATTCTTTGCCAGTACTGTTGTGATTAATGAGCTACAGCCCCTCAAGAGTAGGGTAAAAGTCACTTTCATTGACTGGGCAAACATTTATATTGCAACAAAAATTATAGAAAGTGGGGAAATTATATATTTTCCATGCTTCTAATTTTGTCCTTGAGCAAATGACAGCACATGGCACCTGGTACATGGTCCACTATGGGGTATAAAATGTCTGTTAGCAATGAGTTAAGTGGATGTAAAGTTTACCTCAATTGCTTACAAATGCTGAGATTATAATATTTGAATATATCATTGAATATGCTACACCATTTTTTTTTGATAGTACCTTGCAAAATGATTTGTTTTTGTTCAGGGTATATTTTCATTATATAGATATATTATTCAGCATTTCTATAGTCCTAACTTTTATAAAATGTGATATGCTCGTGTTTTTTCATTAAAAAATGTCTGTACTTTTTATGGGGAAAAATATAATTGTTAACACTTTTCAAAGCTTTGTGATATAATTCCTACATAAATAATTGAAATAGTTCCATTCTTTTTTTAAACTAATATCTAGTTGTTAACTAGTTGCTAGCATAACCAAAAAAAAAATAAATTTCAAATGTGTATATTTTTGTTTACTTTATATGGATGCAAAAGTAGTATATTTAACTGAAGGATATAATGACCCGCTTTTATTTAGGATGGGATATTCCTCTATTATTAATGATATTGTATGCCAAATAATGTTACATATATATGTTCAAATAATGTTGAAGAAAATATATGGTCATTTTATATTCTTAGTGTAAATACTCAACAATAGTTGTATTTCAATGCAGAAAATGTTGGAAGAGGTCAGCGAAGAGCGGCCTATGGTGGTCGTGTTTCCTGGAGTCAACTTTGATGCTTTGCAGGTCATTGTTGCTTACATGTACCGAGGCCAGGTGAGACTTGTTTCTTGATTTTATAATCAGTTTTGTTATTAATAAGAGTGGTAATATTCTGTCTTTTGTGATTGATGTTTAGTAATAGCCATTCACATATGTTAGTACTAATAGAACAGTATTAGTAGTAGTAGTAGTATGAATCTAGATAGTAGAAATAATTGTTGTTGTTTGTATTATTATTGTCATAGTTATTACTATCATTATTATCATTATTATTATTATTATTGCACTACTTCACAGCAATGAAATGTGTGTATATATTAACCATAACATAACAGAAAGGACTGATCCTGATAACTATTGCCCAGTCAGTACCACAGAAGAGCTTATTGCCAATGTCTAAGTGTACCATCATCCATACTTAGTTGTGAGCCGTTTCAATCTTAGGATTTCTAGTCAACACGTCATCAATTTTACACAATTTTTTCCCATGATCCTGACTCTGCTGTCCAATACCCTTTTGGTAATTTATGGACTTTGCGACGTAGCTGTCCTCTTGGAAATAAACATGATCCAGGAAATCATGAACTGGGTCTACTGTCTGTAAAACAGTACTGATAAATATGAATTATATTTCTTCAAAACTACAATGTCAATTTCCTTAAGATAATAAACCAAGCAAAACATTGTTTCATATGCCTGTACAGCATTGCTATTGGATTTACCATTCTGATTCACGATTTTTGCAATGCCCTTATAGGTTCTTGGTAAGCAGGCAAAATGGTTATACGTGATTTTATATCAGTTATTTTTAATTATCAATATGATGGTGATTATAATCATTATTATTGTTGTCATTATTGTCTTTATAATCTTAATCATTGTCAGATGATTATTACTGAAAAGAATATATGACAGATTTTTTTCTCAATTATCTATTGATATATGATAAGGTTAAAAGAATGGAAAGTCACATCCACATATGTTAAAGGCAGACTTTAACTAGTTATGGAGATTGAATTTCATCTTTTCATAGTAAGGGAATCACTGAAAATAGAGTTTCCTCTATGTATATCACCTCATGATTTATGGCTTATTCATTGCATAATGATTGTATGACATCATGTTTTTTTTTTGTAGGAAACTGATCTTTTGTGGCTTTGTGTCATAAACCTCTTTTGCAAATATTACTGTCAGTGACTAAATATGTCTTCCAGGTTAATGTTCCAGCAGAGCTTCTACCCCATGTCATTGAGCTTGCAAAGATGCTGAAAGTGAAAGGTCTTATTGAATTACCTGTGAGTATTCTGCTTTGGTTCAAATGTATCATTCTGAAATTGCTGTCGTGTCACCTCTTGGCAAGATATGAGATTTTTAATATTTATGTTATATGTAATGAAATTTTTAATATTCATGTTATATGTGAAGAAATTTTTGATATTCATGTTATATGTAATGAATTTTTTAATATTCACGTTATATTTAAGTTTTCTACAGTTAATTTTATGTATATATCTACAGTTGCAATCTTCATTTTGATTGTGATAACTCTCATATAAAGCCACACAAGAATAACTTTATAATGCATAATGTTCAAATAACTCATTTTATTAGAATAACTTTGATATATAGAAAATATATTTATTGAAATTGTGACATTCCTAATTTCTTCAAACATATATGTTTATTGCTTTCTAAATGTGGATGTATTTCATTTTTGTTTTAATATTTTTTTTGCATATTTAAGGATATTTTAACAGCACTTTTAATGTACTGTAATGTATTTTAATATCCATTGCAGTGTAAAGTAGCAAGTTTTATTTTAACAGGCTCAGCTGGACACTGTCATTGCAGGGTCTGGAGGAAAGGTTGCAACTGCACATGAAGCTGGGAATCAAGGTAAAGTTTCCAGGGAATATCAACAGTAGAAATTATTGTTATTGAAGTAAATGTACCACTTTTATTAAAAATTTCATTATTATCATTCTTAGTCTTTAATTTTCTTTTTTTATCTTTTTTGTGTTACTTTATTTCCTTTACTTTCTGCCTCTTTTATTCTTACCTTTCTATCTTTATTTTTTTTAAACAGAGATAGACATTTTCCTGACCTTCCTTAGACCATGATTTCCGTCACTTGAGATCAGAGTTTTTTTGTTTTTTTGTTTTTTCCAGGAAATTAATATCTAGAACTTGACAAATCTGTTTTTGTCATTTTGAACCTCTATTTTTATATAACAAATTTGCAAAGTTTATACCTGTACAATAAAATAAGCATAATTTGTCTTGAAGATTTACCGCATTTCAAAAAAAAATACATCCTTTCACATTTAGTGCAGTGAAACATATTTTCACATATTATTTGAATATGCAGAAATCAGTTCCATGGCCTATATTTGTTTAGTTAGTGACAACTCGGGCAAAGTCAGGTAGCTAGTGCCTCACCAATATGGCGCTATTAGGATTAGTAGTGCAGGAAGAGATAGTTTGCTATAAAGGTACTGTAATTAGTAACATTTTCTGTAGATATGTATTTTTTTCTGAGAATAGCAAGTTCTGTAAAGAATAGCAACCATTTCAATTATTCTGAGAGAAACTATTAGTTACTGACAAGAAAGTTAACACTTTTGAAATCATAATCCTCTTTTATTTTTAATAGGGATTCCCATCTGCAGTTATGCAGATGCACATTTTTTGGTACATACAAAATTATTAGGGAAGCTGTTCTTTGCTTTAACAGTTTTGTTTGGGAAACTATACTTTTTCATATCCTAATCACCTTTTTTTACTTCCAACTCTTTATTGTGTCCTTTCATTGTTCTTGTGTTCAAAATTAAAAGTCATCTTTTTCTAGTATTTCTCCTGCTTTAGCCGAGTTTTACATGATGATGTCATTCCTTTTCCCTCTTTCATCCAAAGTAGTAGATCCTTATTCTCTCTGTCTGTCTTCATTGTTCATATTTCTTAATAGTTGGTGCCTATTTCATGGCTGCACTTTGAACTCTTTCCAATTTGTCAATATCCTCTTTTATGTATGGGTTCGATGCCACTGCACTGTACTCTAGTTTAGGTTTTATGATGGTTGATATTCATGTTATATAGGAGTTTGCAATCAATCCTAGCATTGTATGGACCTTTTCATTTATATTATCATCTGGCATTGAGTTTGTGGTTATGATTATTCCAAGGTATGTGTATATATATATATATATATATATATATATATATATATATATATATATATATATATATATATATATATATATATATATATATATATATATATATATATATATATATATATATATATATATATATATATATATATATATATATATATATATATATATATATATATATATATATATATATATATATATATATATATAGTGTGTGTGTGTGTGTGTACACATATGCATGCATGCATCCATATTTTTGCATTGCAAAATAGAATCTGTTTGGTAACTAAACCTGGATAATTATATATCCTGCAGAGCACCTGGACATGCACCATGAAGATGAAGGGTTGGTAGAGTTTGAAGTAACTGCTGCAGAACATGAGCCAACAGTCACCAGCAATACACAGCAGCAGTCAGTCAACACCCACAACCCCATCACAGTGATGACCCAGAATTCAGCAGATGTTCAGCCAGTATCTACTATTCAGATTCAGCACTCAGAACACCCTGAATCAGAAAAGATGGAGGCTGCAGTTGCTAGGAGTATGTTTTTTTCTCTTTATTCATTCTTTTGGGTCAAATTGTTTTAGAAAATTATATATGAAATATTCTGGGCTGCTGCGTCGGAGCGCAAGCCATGATACAGCGTCACACTGGCGGGAGACACACGGGAGTCTCATATATGGGACACCTGTCGCTAATGGGTTAACCATACATTTGGTAATTTTTGAATTTCTTTTCATTGATATGATTATTTAGTGATATTTAATGCATTAATATTGGTAATTTAATTTTTTTTATCTGTATAGGAGTGGAAATTGCAAAGGGTGAGGTTGAAGATGAAGATGAACACGTGCTCATTCAGCCAGAAGATATTCAGTTGTCTACAGTTGATGATCTGACTCACACACAGATAGTTAAGGTGAGAGATTTACAACATTTTTGTTTATTCATTATCCTGTCGAATCCGGTTGTGTCACGGGAATCATGGTGCCGAAAACACAGGCAGTGGGTTAAGTAAGTAGCCAACATCCTGGGCATGCAGTGCGTAGCCTGGGCACACACAAACACCCATGAGCAGTGACAAGGCTCTGTGCTTCTCCTTTGCAAAGTTATTTTATGTTAATTTTTTTAGCTTTATCACCATTTTCCAATGTCTATATTTGTCTTTTGATTTGCTTTATCCTGATGATAATAGCTTATTTCCCTTACACTGACTCATCATCTCTCTATGTAGTAAATAACAGTGCAAGAAAAGAAAAAAAAATGGAACATTGGGTTAATTGTGTCATCTTATTTTTTCGTAATTTTCAATTTTGCGTAATACAACCTGTGCTGCCTATCACAACGGCCAGGAATATGGTGCATAGCATGGAAATGGCGTCTTCCCTGGAGCCAGCACTCTTCCAGTCACTGGGAATAATGCTAAAACACCCTTCTAAGTGCCAAATGAGTCAAATCACACTCCAAGAGGTTTGTGCACTCAGGGCGAGTCTTTTCTGTGACCCTGGCCTTCGCTCGTGATGGCAATGTCACGTCATCCGGCCCATGGGCATTTTGCTCAATGACAGCATGTTCACATCACCCGCCCCTCGAATCAAGTTTTTCCATGACATGGCCACAACATCATTTGGGTCCTTTTTTTTTTTTTTTTTTTTCAATTTCCCCTTCTATATGATATCCCATTTTATGAAATTTATGTAAGTTTGAGACAAGAATTTACAATTTTGGAAGAACTGATGAAGTGATACAGCAGAATTGTTTATATGATAAGATAAATCTTAAATGATATCAAATTTCTAATAAGGAGGGGAAACTGGTTGTAGTTTGGATACATTTCAGAGTAAGAGAGCACTGGAAACCAGGGCTTTTTAATATCTTGAGCCACTATTTAACAGAAGTGATAAAGATACTTCAGTTTCTCTATTATTATTCAATCACAATATCACAAATTTGCTCAACAAGCAGGATAGTATTTTTTACATTATTGTCCTAAAAATTGGTTTTGTAAATCTGATTAGCCTTTCGTTTTGATTTTTTTCTATAAACTGGTTCATTGTTAAATCCCTGGTATAGTATAGTATTGAAGAGGGAGAAGGATATTAAATTTATCAAAAAATTTATTTGTATTGCATACTATATATATATATATATATATATATATATATATATATATATATATATATATATATATATATATATATATATATATATTTTATCACTTGTAAACTCATAAAACAATCTAACTTACTTTCCTTTAGCTGAGTGAGAATGGAACTGTGGGTGAGGTGCTGTTTAGTGGTGACTACATCCATAGTGAGAGAGCTGGAGATGATCACCATGCTTCTGCAGATGATTCATTGTGTTTACAGGTTTGTAGACAATAGTCATCACCTTTAACCTGTTGGATCCGGGTGCCTCACTGCCAGCACATGGCCCAAAGTCCAGGTATGGAGCTTGCTTGAGTGGCAGTTCTCCTAGGGCTGTGACATAATAACACTTATGTTCGGTGTCAAGACTCTTTGCCTCCCCTTTCCAGTGTTATTATCTTGATTTCTTTAGCAACGTGATTTGCTTTTCTGCCATTTTCTAAGGTCTATACTAGTTATTTGATATGCTGTATCAAGGTGGTAATATTCTATTTTCCATACATAGACTCCATATGAATTCCCTCGTTAGTCTACAATGCTGTGCAATAACAATAACAATAAGTAACATTTTGTTATTTGTTTAATTTCTAAATATTTTTGTATTATTCAATTTTATATAACATACTGCACCACCAGTCACTGCTGGCAGAAATATGATCCTGAGCATGAAAATAATGTCCTCCCTGGGACTGGCACTCTTCCAGGAATGGTACATTCCATCCTCATTTACCAAGAGCCCCTTCCTAAATTCCAGCTGAGTCTAATCTTCCTCTGAGAGCTGTGTGCACTTATGGTGAGGCATTACCGTTACTCTGGCATTCAGCCAAATATGTCATCATGGAACATTCCCATCACCTCAATCCTCAGAAAAAAAATTTCCATGAAGACATGTGCCTGTCACTGAGCCCTCAGCTAAATTTTTTCCATAACGTGTCAGTAACATCACTCGATCCAAGGGTTTAAAGGCTGATTGCCATTAAATGATTATTATGCAGTTTGTATAGCTACTGTGATTTAATTTAGAGGACATTCAGGTTTTGACTCTAATAAGCACATTCAGTAAATGTCCACAAGTAGTATATGTTCCAGTACATTTTTATACTGAAAAGATTACATTGTCATGTGATATAATTTTGTGAGATTCTAAGAAGAACAAAATTCTCTGGTTGAATACAAGTAACAGCTAATTTTCCAATAGGAAGGGCAAGATTATTCTGCATCTAAAAAGAGGCGGAAAGTGATATACAAGTTAGCAAGATATGGGTGAGTAACATTTCTTCATTAAAACAAATGATTAGTAAAGTTGAATTTTTTATAGCCTAATGTCAGAGTTGTTTTATAATGACAAAACAAGTTACTTTATTGATACGATAATTGAAAAACGCATCTTTCCATATTTCAGTTAATTTCTTTTATGTATGATGGATTTTCTGACATAGATGATTTAATGTATATATGAATTAGCATTAATGAGGTTTAATCAACCATCAACAGGCCAGAAGATCTTCAGAGAGCAATAGAAGATGTGCGTTCAGGTATGGGAACACTGCGTGAGATTGCTGAGAGATATGGTGTTCCGCATTCCACTCTGTCTGTAAATGCACGGATGGCAGGAATTTCAGTTCAGCAACGAAACCTGGATTATGATAATGAGACACTAGAAGCAGCTAAGCAAGCAGTAAAAGGTAATATTCACTTTTATTTATTTTTTCATATGAAAATTTTTTAGTAAATTCTGTGATGTAATTTTTCTTTCTTCCTTTCTTTCCATTTTTTTTAAATATTTTCCTATCACAATATCATGTGTATTTCACAAATTTGAAGTATAAGTATTGCATGCTTCAGTTTTTTATCATAACAGATGCTATATATAGATTTTTTTTTTTTTATGAAAAAAATTTAAGGTCCTAACTTTTGAGTATTTCAGTAAAGACCTAAACATATTATATTAACCTAGACAGTATTGAAAACCAAAGGATAAATACTTTTATTGCACTCAGGTTCAGTGAATTGATATTATTATCTCTCTCTCTTTCCTTTCGCCTTTTCTTTCTTGCTATTTGATATCACCAATTAAACTATATACATTGAACTGCCCACTTAACTCTATATAAGTAGACATATTTCAGCACTGAAAATTGAAAAGGAATGTCATAATTTTGCAATATCCGACAGGAGGATCAAGCTACATGAAAGTAGCTCGGGAGTATAATATCCCTAAATCAGTGCTTTGGAGGCGGTGTCAGAGAGAGGGTGTGCTAAGAGGAGAAGCCCGTCGTTGCTACAACTATTCCCCTGACGACATAGACCAAGCACGGCAAATGCTGCTCGGTGGACGGCCACTCTCCACCATTGTCAAAGATACAAAGGTACTTTCCCAGGGTACAGATGTATTTAGAATAAGGATTATGAACTTCATTTGTAGCTTGCCATAACACTAATTGTGCTTATCAAATATCTATTACCATGTAATATAGTGGTCTACAGTTAGCGGGCCATGTCAGAATTCGTGGTTGGCTTGGCTACATCAGCTCCAACATTGAAAGCTTTTATCTATTAATGAATTCTGTATAGATAAAAGCTTTATCTAAATTTTTAAAAAAAGAGAGAGAAGTATTTAGGAGTGCTCTCAGAAGTTTGTGGTCAAGATCTGCTTGCAAAGTATCATATGATTATGATTCTAGATAACAGAGTTATCTATAGTTCATTATGCAAAAATACTGTAATAGTTGTAAAAATGTAAATTCTTGGCACATCAGTAATATTGCTCCTGTTTGAAATGAATAATGTCAAGTATTAGATGTATATATGAAAAAATACTCAGTATTATTTTTAATACAGTGATGATTGTACATTCTTAGATTATGCTAATAGATTAGTAATTAAGCATAATTGATCCACAATTGAGTGTTTGGGAGTCTTAAAAACAGATTTACCCTTTCAATCTTTCCAGCAGCCAAAATTAGGAATTGATTTTTGAAGTTCCAGGAAGACAAATATTAGCCATTGATATTTCAAGGGCTTAATTTGATAACCCAGAAAATTAATATTTCAGATACATACAGCACACTAAAGCATCCAGTAGTGTACTTTAACCCATTAGTACCGGTATATTTTGAAGCCGTAAATAAAAGGTTCCAGGCGTCAACAATATCGGCAGGTAGGGCTGCCCCGGAGTCTGCCTACCTGCCGGCCACTGCCCGCTGCTGCGTCGGAGCGCGAGCCCCAATACAGTGTCACACTGGCAGGACGCCCGGCAATGTTTATTTTTACAGGTGTCTCATATGTGGGACACCTGTCGTTAATGGGTTAATGAATTTTTGAAAAATTCAAGAGGCATAAAAGAAGCCTGTAAATTTTAGGCTAATTCTGGTATCTTGCTCTTGCTCGGTAGAAGCAAATTGCAGTATTTCATTAGTGATCACAGTGTAAGAAACAGGAAATAAAAAGTTGTTGATATAAACTAATTATACACTGACTATCTTTATGAAAAGTATATGCCTCATAAATATTGTAATCACCATCATAGAAAATAAGATAAGGTGCCATAAATCATTGTGGTTACTAACAAGATAATGCAGTATTTATAATCTCCACCTTTTACCAGATAGCAGTAATGGTTACTGCTATATTATAGGCATGACACGATTTTTGTATATTAATTATGGTGTGTTATTGTATCAAAACTCTTGTTACTAAGACATTAAAGATTTGTGTTCTGTACCTGTAACAGCTCTTCTAATTATAAGTTTTGTGCTTGGTCATAGTTTTGGCTTTGGTGATTTACACAAATTAGCTATATGGTAATTTACCCCCCATGAATTAGCTATATGGTAATTTACCCCCCATGAATATGTCATGAATTCCGCTGCCCCGTGACATTCATCATATTTGTATGATGAATATGTTAAAATCGATCATATCTATTCTATTTTATGGGAAAGAAATTTGAAAAGTCGCATAAGGATTTTCTATTTTTCTTCGTTTTTCCTATAATAAATTTTTCACTTTGGGAAAAAAATTGTTGTAATAAGACACTTTTATCTTCCTGTGATCAATTTCAATAGGTAATGTTATTATACAATGCATCATTTTTGCTCCTGTAAAGCGAGAGTGTGGAAAGGTGAAAATCGCTGTGGTAATGAGACTCGGGGGTTCTGGCCTTGCGCGCTGCCCAAAATTTTTATCTTCCTGTGATCAATTTCAATAGGTAATGTTATTATACAATGCATCATTTTTGCTCCTGTAAAGCGAGAGTGTGGAAAGGTGAAAATCGCTGGCGTTCATATTCAAGTGGGTATTTCTACACTCATATACGAATATGAAACAGACCATAACTCATTTTCGACCAATCCGACCCAAAATCCCTGACTAAATGTATTTATTTTTAGTGAAAAAGCATTTTTTGAAGAAATTTTAGTTTCCCTTACCAGTTTTTATAAATAGCTTTAACCCTGGAATCTGGTTGCAACACAGCAATCACTTGGACCTAAATAGAGGCATTAGGCTTGGCTGCTCCCCAGATTATGTGGCATTTAGGTTAGGTGCACATGAAAACTCGAGTTTGGTGACAAGACTCTATGCTCTGCCTTTGCAATGTTATTTTGCTTAAATGTTTTTAGCATTTTTGCCATTGCCAATGTCCATATTTGTCTTTTGATTTGCTTCATTCTGATGGTAATAGACTGTTTTCCTTATACAGTAAATATTTCAGCTCAAGAATTTTTTTTAATATTTTGCTATTTGTGTCATTTTTTGTAATATTCAATATTTTGTAATGCATCCTGCAACACCAATCACAGCAGCCAGGACGAGGATGTTGAGCATGGAAGTGGCGTCTTGTCCTCCTTGGCACTTGCACTCTCCCAGTTATAGCTCACAGACATTATATTCCACACTTATTTATAAATGGGGAAAATGCAAAAGCCCTTTTCTAAACGCCAAATGAGTTTAATCACCTTCCAAGAGGTTTGTGCACTCTTGGGAAGACTTTTCTGTCACTCTGGCCTTTACTCATGATGGCAAGTTTTCATAACACAGCCTGTAGCCATATTTTCCCATGATAGCAGGTTCATGTCATCTAAAAAAATTTGTGATGGTCACATCACCCAGATCCAAATCAAAACTGTTAACAACTTATAATCTCTACATCTGATGTGCTGGCTACATCTGATGTTCACTGTAGGTTTTTTTTTTTTTTTTTTTTTTTTTGTTTTTTTTTTTTTAGTTTTATTTATACTTGGCTCCACACATGTTAAGTCACAAAGGATTCAGATTCTAGACCTACTTAACTAGAATTCTTTATCCCATTTCTTGTCTTTTTTTTTTCTTTCTTTCAAAATTTTTATTTATGCAGTGGCAGTAGGTCCTCTTTATACCCAAACAGTATACAGTCAGATGCTTGAGTGAAAATTAGATGCATAGGCACATACATGTACTTTACATTTACCTTAAACTATTACTACTACGTAGAGAGGTGAAATATGTAGTCTGTGCAAGGAAAATAATCTATTACTATCTGGATATAGCAAATCAATAAATAGATATGAACATTGGAAAATGGCAAAAAAGCTAAAAAAAAAAATATGCAATATAATTTTGTAAAGGGGAGGCACACAGTCTTGTCGCAACTCACGAGTATTTGCTTCCACAACCAACACACCACATACCCGGGATATTGGCCTCTGTATTTTCGGCTCTGTGATATCCGTGACATAACCGGATCCAATGGGTTAATCACTGACAATTTGGTGGCTAAACACTTGTGGTGCCATCTTTGTGGTAATACTTTCACACTGAACAGGGCATATATATACCTTCTCAGCATCATTGGGTTAACCCATTTACGACGGGTGTCCCATATATGAGACACCCGGAAAAATAAACATTGCCGGGCATCCTGCCAGTGTGACATTGGATCGGAGTTCATGCTCCAAATACATTGTGGGCCGCGGCCCGCATGTGGGCAGATTCCGGGCGGCCCCGCATGCCGATTTTGTAGCTGCCTGGAAGATATTATTTTTGGCTTAAAATATACAGGTGTTAGTGGGTTAATAACCAGGGCAAGTATTCAAGGAAGTTAATGCTGGTAATAGAATAAGCATATAGATCGTTATAGACTTTATTTGGATCATCTCTTGTAATAACATGATAAGGTAGATATGGCAGTAAATCTTACTTATATCATAATGTTAAAATTACACATTTAGTATGTCTAAATATGAAATGGCATCCCTACATTTATTGTCATTGCAGCAGTAGCAAAGGCAAGTTCCACTATTTATGTAATATAGCAGACGGCACAATTAACATTTGATAATTTATCAAATGTGGCCTTGAAACTTTTCTTATTTCCAATTTGCATAAGAACAAATTAAAGACCGTCCTTATGCATAAGGACAAAATTAATGACAGTCCTTATGGATCAAAAGGCGCTTCCACGTTTTTTCCTATTATATTTGATGCAGTATTATCTTCAAAATTGTGTAGATATGCATTGTAGTTTTAAAGACAGTCCTACAAGCATGGGACACCACACCTATCTTAAATCTTCAGCCTAGTCATAGACAAAAACTGCCTGTCAAAGACATTTTTGTTGGGAGTCAGACAAATATGCCAAGTCAAATAGAGATGAAGATAATCACACACCAGTAATGACAGATAGACTTTGGAGGTCAATGGTCAATCATTAATTGATCTGCTTTTTACATATTTACAACAATTTTCTGTTTGAAAATACAAATGGTGCCACACTGCATCACAGCTGATGCAATATCAACAAACCTATTGTTGCCCAAATTACACTTAAATGTATAAAATGTATTCCAGAAATAAGATTTATTGTAGTGTGTAGTTTAACATATTACTGCAATTAATTACCTCCATAGTCTATAACATTTTAAATGCTTGTTCTATTACCAGCATTAAGTTTTAGGTGTTTCAATAGCACAAATCATAGACAAATTTGTAAAGAATAGTCATAGATATTTTCTGAATTCCACCCAAATTGCTATCTCATTATAAAATTCCCAATATTTCCTTCTAGATTCCAAAGACAACTTTATTTCGCATCAAAGAACAACTAGTGAGAGAGGGAAAGATGCCAGCCTCATGTATCAACCGTTCCATTCGTCCTCGAAGACCCTCTGAAAATTCTCTACAACAAGCCATCACAGCATGCAAGGAGGAAGGCATGTCTCAAGGCAGAGCATCTGAGAAGTTTCAGGTAAGTAACATGTCGACAACATGAGGTATTGACATGTAAAAACTAAGATAAAATTTAATACTCGGAATGATGAAGACTAAATGCGACACTTCGGGCCAAAGAGTCTTTTTGTATTCAAAGTTTTTCTAAGCCCTTGAGAAATCATTTCCAGTGTATGTAATACCAATTAGATTTTGTGATATGACAGTAGGAAATTTAAATGGAACAAAGGTTTGAAGCCCAGAAGTGATTCATGGCAGCTTCTGAGCAACTGTGGAAAATAAATTCAATTTATTTTCTACAAAATTTGTTTCTTAGTTACTGAGTAAAGTTTTCATACACTATCATGTAGACCAGTGGTTCCCAATCTTTCCTATTCTGTAGCCCCCAAACAAAATATAACAGTTGCCTCCACCTTCTTCCCTCCTCTCTGCCTCCCTATTTCCCTCCATCTCATTATTTACTCCTTTATCCCCTTCTCAGATAGAAAGATGATGAAATTAATATCTTCATGGAAGAAAATACATATACATGAGTTTATCCTAGTAAAAGTGAAAAAAACAGCCCTTAGTGTTGCAAATGTAAGTATGGTGAAAAGATGATTGAACATTAACCATTGATTCAGAGTCTGTCATGGCTTGCATGAGGACCACAATCCATGCATTATACTTACTCGAACAGTAACATTCTCAGGTATGTGGCATGTAGGCCCAGTTCACATGAACACTCATGTGATATCGAAACTCCTTGCCTCCTCTTTACAAGGCTATTAGCTGTTACTCTGTTGGCAGATATTTTTAGTGCATTGCCATTGTCAGAGGTCTATGTGTGTCATTTATTATGTTATACCACAATCAGAATTTTTTTTTTTTTTTTTTTTTTTTTCTTGTCCACTTCATATTATCTTTCCAGATAGTCTCAGTCAATAATTGAGTGTGCTGATTGTGTTATTTCTTTATATTTTGTCAGTATTAAATTCTCTGCAACACATCCCCTCTATAAGGTTTTACCTGTTTTTCATCAATCTGCAAGATTTACTAGAAGTTCTATAACCCTCAGTTCAGTGATGTTTGATACAAGTCAATTGTCTACATCTCAATTTCTAGATCCATTTTTACTACTGTTTTAAGCTTTGGAATAGATTGCCTTTTCCAACTCTTGATAAGTGTAAGAGATCAGCTAATATGTTTTTTTTTTTACATAAATAGTGGGTGATTTTCCATCATCTGTCTTTCTTATCTGTGTTATGACCTGCACTGACACCTTTGGTGATATGACTCAAATTTTTCAGTGTGGCTCTTTATATGGCCTACCATGATAATAATGCCTTGTGGTACCGGTCAAGCCAGGCAAGAATAGGTTCCTGTTCATGGATATAGTGTCTTCCCTAAGGCTAGCACTCTTCCAGACATGCTTATGGATGGTAAATTCCACCCTTGTTTACCATTGGAAATGATGCAAGAGCCCTCACCTAAAGGCCATTTGAGTCTAGTCTCTGTCCAAGAGTTTTGTGCATTCATGGCAAGATGTCCCCATAACCTGTCACACAGCAACAATATTTCATACAGTTACAAGACTCCATGCCTCCCCATTTTGCAATGTGCTTCCCATCAACTGACATTCTCATGATGGCATGTTCCCACCACCCAGGCCCTCAGCTTAACCCATTAACGCTGGTATAATTTGAAGCCGAAAATAAAAGATCCCGGGTGGCTACAAAATCGTCGGGCAGAGCTGCCCAGGAGTCTGTCCGCCCGCTGGGCGCAGCCCGCTGCCCAGAAGTCTGTCCGCCCGCCAGGCACGGCCCGCTGCCCAGGAGTCTGCGTCGGAGTACGAGCCCCAATACAGCATCACACCCGTTGTTAGTGGGTTAATTTCTCATGATGTCATGTTCATGTCACCCACATCTCAAGCCATATTTTTTCATGGTGTGATGGCTGTATTACGGAAAATTGAATATTATGAAAAAATAGATTAGAGAACAAAAATATTTTTTTTTTATTTACTACATAGAGAGATGATATGGAGTCTGTGCAAGGAAAAAAATCTATTACCAACTGGATAAAGCAAATCAGAAGGTAAATATGGACATTGGAAAATGGCAAAAAAGCTTTGAAAGTTTATAACTTCGCAAAGGGGAGGCACAGTGTGTTCATGTGCATCTGGAAAACACACTACACACCAAGCCGAGCGGCTACTTATGTAACCCAGTCTCCATTTTTTTGGCCATGGGAATGCTATGACACAACCGGATAAGTGATTGGTTGCTCCAGGAAGGAGTGAGACTCTGGCACTGTGATTAGCTCCCTGAGTGTGGCTGATTGGCAGTGTTTGCAAGAGGGCATCAGTAATGAGGCCATGTTCTGTGGCTGTAGCTGCAACCTGAATTATGTTGTTCTCTCTAAGAAAGAGTGGTTGTATTATCCTGTTGTGTTGAGGAGAGGTGGAATAATATGCCAAAGCTGTGGGGGGGGGGATGTGAGTAGCTCGTTCTTGTCAATAAACTCTGTGGATTGCCACCTACTTGTTTTTTCACATACCCGCAAACATTCCTCAGTGCCACGAGCGCTTACCAGAGGCAGCTCATCAAACCCAGTGTGACAGGTAGTAAAGGAGTGCAGCATCCTGACAAATATAGTGAGTTGTGTCAGGCATTCAGTACTTGAAAACCTGTCTGTGTGTGTGACCTGCCTACTTGGGAAGAGCACCCCACATTGGGCATCAGAAGGAGGAGGTTACGCAACATTATCTTAGGGAAGAGGATATTTTCTAGGTGAAACTTTCATAAATTCTAGAATACATTATCTCAGTTCTCCTTGTTAGTGAAATCTTGCACAAATAATTTTTTACTTTATTTTGTAACCATAATTACCATTACAATTTGAATTTACGCTTGTCTTTTTTTTTTCAGGTCTCAAAGACTACAGTGTGGCGTCGTCTGAAGAGAATGAAGCAGCTGGATCCAGACCAAAGAAATAGTGAGAATGAGATAGACAGACAGAATGTAAAGATTGAGGTGGTTGATAATATCTCTGGAGATCATCTTGCCGATACTTATGATGAAGGAATCACAATGAGATATGCTGAAGATGGAGATTTACGATATGTAGATACCATAGATGGCCAAAACTCTGAGGAAAGAACACTTGATTGTGCTACTGTAAGTGCTAAATATGGAAACTTGAGTGGTACTGATAAATTGCTTCAAAATAAAGATGCTGGGCAATCAAAGATGGGGACAGAAAAGCACGTTTCTTATGAAGTTGTACCTGAATCTTCTATAGTACAAAGTGAAGGCCAGAATATTGTTATAGCCAGTTCCCAGTCTTCCTTCATTGACAGTAAACATCTTGGGATATTTACAAGTGAGGGACACATGATTCCTGCAGGAGAGCAGTTAACTATTACCCAAGACAATAAGGTGGTTCCAGCAACAGAAGGATCAAGAGAAAATGCAGGAAATACCCAGTTTGAGTTAGAAATGCCTTTGGTAAGTCTTATTTTTATTGATTAGTTTTGATTACATCTGCCGTTTACAATATCATTTAGATCTTTTCTGTGAATCCAGTTTACTTTGATTTATCTGTAGACACTCCTGTGTTTCCAATCATTTGAAGTTCAGTTTGTCCTTTTAGAATAGTAATATATTTCTGAATGGTTTTAATCATTATACTGGATGTGTCTCTTTTTTCCAAAGTTTGTTAGCAAAACTGTCTGATATACCTGTATTCTGTTAAAGATAATTTTTTATGATGTAATTAACCTTATCATGATGGGGCCAGAATTTTCCGTAATATAGTTATTATGCAAGTGTTTAGCCTTTCTGGTAGGGTTTGTGCTGTGTACAATTGGCCCACCCTCTCTGCTGAGCAAGGGAGTTATGACATGAATACACATAATACATGATTACCAGAGCGGTACCCATCACTGAGGTGTTAAGGTATGATAAAAGCTACTATGATTCAACAGGCTGTTAACCCATTGCATCAAGGTGACATGACTGTGATGTCATGAAAAAAATTAGGGCCAAATGCTGGGAAGGTGCCGTCATGGAGGGAAGGCATATACTTCCATGCTCAGGATCCTTGTCCTGCCTGCTGTGACCAGTAGTACAGGATGTGCTACAGAAAGTAGCATGATTCAAAAAAATTAGAAAGTTACAAGGATAACAAAATGTTACTTATTGTTAATGTTATAGCATAAAGTTCTAGATTATCTAGAGAGATGATATCAAGTCGATGCAAGGAAAACTGTTTACAACCATCTTGATACATCTTGATAAATAACAAATATAGAACTTGGAAAATGGCAAAAAGCAAAAAATGCATATGCAGAAATAGAGGTGCAGGGACTTGACACCAAACATCACTGTTCATGTAGCCCTAGCCAGCTGAAAGAGGTACCATTGAAATAAGCTTAATGCACAGATTTTCAATCACTTGCAGGCAGTGAGGTAGCTGGATCCAGTGGGTTAAAATGTGAAAGGATAATCGTCAATAATGAAATCAGTTTTAGTTTTGTAGGTTCTGACTGGCATATCAGGTGTTAGTCTTGCTTTTCTTTATAAAAGCTAGCTTTAACTTGTGTGACTATGGAAAACCATCATAATTCCTGTACAGTTTGCATTATTTTGCACTTAGGCTTACCTGTTCCATGTGATGGACAGATTTTTTTTCCATGACATGAAGTTCCATGTGATGGACAGATTTTTTTTCCATGACATGAATAACATAAACTTAGTAATGTGTATAAAAATGATTGGGAGAGCTACAACCTTCCTTAGACGTATATCATATCTTTTGAAGTAATGTATAAGTTCTGTTCATCACATTTTCACACATAGCATTATCCATTGCTTCTTCAGGTTTTTGATCTTCATATTCTTCATTGTGTTACCATTCTTAAACTAATCTTAATAATAACTTTTGTGTTTTCCTATAATTTCCTGTATTTTCCTGAGGTCAAGATGTTTTTTTTATTCAAAGAACCTGATGTGATAGAGCAAATTTAGCAGTCTTCAGATAAACAAAATTGAAACTCAAATGTTTGTTAACTATTGTTTTTTCTTCTTTCACTTTTACTTGCATTGTTTTTTTGTTTTGTTTTTTTCTGCATAAGCAATTTTTGCTATTTTGCCATTTTCCAATGTCTAGAAATGGCAGTTGATATACTGTATCAAGACGGTAATAGACTGTTTACCATTTTTTTTTTTTGTTGTTGTTGTTGCTGTCGTTGTTGTTATAGTATTCAATTTTATCTAATACATCCTGTGCTGCCAATCATGGTGGGCAGGAATAAGATCCTGATCCTAATGCTAGAGCCTCCTCCTAAGTGAGTCTTATCACCCACCAAGAGCTTTCTGTGCTCGTGGCAAGTCATTCCTATCACCATGGCCTTCAGCTGAAAGTCTCATGACTGTATGTTCACATCATGGTGGTCTTCAGCCAAATTTTTCCATGACAAATATGTTCACCACTCACTCACTCACCACTCAGTCAAATTAATTCATAATGTGATGGTCATGTCATCCGGATCCAGAGTTGATTATATTTTATTGCAAGAGAATCCTCCTGAAAAAAAATACGAACTTTAAGACGTCATGCAACAGTGCACGTGTGCATGTGTGTTTAGAATATTTGCTTTGAATATATTTTTTTATATTCAGGAAGTAACATTTGCCATGAAGAGAGGTTACGTTAATTTTTCTTTTCTCTCACTTATGTCACACAGATGAATCTCCCAGGTGGAGGATACCAGGTTGTTGGGAGTGAGATTGTTATAGGAGGCCAGCAGATGGTTGTCTTAGAGCCATCTGGATCAAACCCTCACCACCCAACCAACAGTGACCACCATCTGGTTGTTGCTTCATTCAGTCAGATGGTAATGATCATAATCCTTGTTTTTCTTACACTTGAAATATGCTACTGTATTAAACTAATTGTTTGTTATTATTATGAGTATTTCATTTATTGTTACAAGTATATCATATCATAGATATTTAAAAATTCTTCCAGGATGGATTGGATGACCTCTCAAAGGTGGAGAGGACTGTCAGTGTTGAAAATCTCGAAACAGAGAACCAGCAAGTTCAAGATATGAAACAAGAAAGTTCAAGACCGCAACAGAACTCAGATTAGTGATATTCATTCCATATTTCTGAGTTGAAGCTGAATGTATGCGAAGGTTTACAAGCAGGCTTTCTGTTTCATATTTCAGGCCAAAATCTGAAAAATATTTTCTAGCATCATTTATATTATCCTTATTATTGTTATTGTTATTATTATTATTATTATTATTATTATTGTTATAATAATAATAATTATTATTATTGTTGTCATTATTATTAATGTTGTCATATTGTTATTATCACTAACATAATTGTTTATGATTACCATGATTCTCTTTATTATTATTAGATTTTTTTTTTATTATTGTACATACAAGAGAACAGTGAAAAAGCTTGTGTGATAAGGTAAACATATTCACAAAGTATTTCCACTACTTTGCTGAAATGGATTAGAAAGTCATTGATAAGAAATAGCTCTTTTCTTTAGAAGTTAGGCCTATAATGAAAAAAGTGAATGGTGCAAAGAATGAAAATTTGAATAGTAATACTAAAGACCACCTCCTTCATGTAAACTAATAATTTCTCACTTAAATTGTGCATGTATTTTCCAAAATGATGTGAAATTGTAATATCAGTCATATATTTTTTATAAGCTGCTCCATATTGGAGAGATTTTTGTAAATAGACTTCCTACCTTGTATGGTAATACAGCAGGTAAAAATATCACAGAGCCTTTTTCCCCTTCTTGAAAAACTAGTTGATTAAATGAAATATATTTTCAAGAATTCCCAAGGGAACTTGCAAAAATTTTATCTACATCATAACATCAAACCAGTGGGATATTTACCAACCAATATGTTTTGTCATTATTTCCTGGTATGCAGTGGTTCCTACTTTGTGTTTATGTAAAAGTAGTTTGAATTCTAGTTGTTGCATTAACTGCATTATGGAGTGTGAAGCGTTCCTTTGTCAGTGAGTTGTTGTTTTTCAATAATTTTCTTCCCTATTTTCTTTCTTTTTCTATGATTATTACTTGACAAAAACATACCTACTGAGTAGATATATTTACTGTCTAAAAGATGTACATGATACTACTGACTCAAAAACAGCCTCCCATCAGGGCTGGTGATTACTTTTTCTAGTCACATGTTCACAAGAATTGAAGGAATTCCACTGAAATGCAAGAATGCTATGCATGGAATCAAAAATATGTGTGAATTTTGCCATATGATTATAATCCTAGTAACCAAAGCCACCATATAAAAGACAAGGTCTAATAGAACATAACTGAGGCTGATGATACAAGTTGGCTCACCACTATCAATAGCAACAGTAGTAGTCTAGAGGACTCTGAACTCAAAAGCCTTCACTGGGAAATTTATATATTCCAGAATATGTAGCCATGTAATTCATATTTTGATAAATAACATTTTAGGTATAAATGTAGATTCACAGTAAGGACTGCCTTCACACCTTTCAGAGGTTACAGATTTTACTTGTTGAGTAGTCTTGGTAAAGAGAATTTATCCAAGGTTTTCAAACTATGTATTAAAAGGTAGGAAAGAATGTATTTTATTAATTTCTTTTAAAGCAACGTAGACAGAAGATGTAAAGTATGAACAGCATCCTGGATGCAATACTTGACATTTTTATGTTGTAATTATATTTATTTTGGATATTCTTGCATAATGACGAATAATGACTGGACAGCCTGTAGGCTTGCACAGAACTTAGAAAATTTAATTATTGTATCAAACAGATTCCAGAAATCAAGGTCATTAAGATTATACACTTTTTTTTCTAACCATGCCTCAAAATTGCATGATTTTTCTTGCATTAATGGTAAGGAGAAAATTAATAGATTTCTGATAATGAA